TCTCTCACACACACACACACACACACACACACACACACACACACACACACACACACACACACACACACACACACACACACGCACACACACACACAAGAAGAAGAAGAAGGTAGTGGCTATGGAGTGCCGAGGAAGGAAACAGGACAGAGGAGAGGAAGATGCTGAAGTCTGCCTTTTCCCTCTCACCTGCAAAGGATGCCATCACACCAACCCATGTGGCTCGGATGAAGGTCACCCAACTGGAGCCTGCCTATGGTGCCCAGGTAAGCGATGTCAACCTCCCCTCCCCTCCCCTCCTATAGCTACACCCCCACCTGCTATTGCACAGCTCGAAGATACCAGTGCTGCTCTCCCGCAGTGCATCCTGTGCCTCCACGGCCTACGATCAGGGCCGTCCGATTGAATTTTGATTGATGGTTCTGATCACAGGCCCAAGTCCTGGTTCTATGACTATGGACGAATCTGAACCTGGGCTACAACGGCCTACCTGCAGTCCTCTGGTCCGAATAGGCGGTGGACAATCCGAAAAGTCCAAAATGACACATTTAAGGAAGGCAAAAATAGAACAGACAAAACTCAGTCCTGCACTCAGCAAAAATAAATAAATAACCGAATAATCAAATATCAGAAATAAAATCCATGCCGGACAAAAATAGGAGTCTGGTTGAAAATGTCTCTGTGGGCCACCCGGTTGCACAAGGGAAGTGTCTGTGCGACCTGGGGTCGGATGCAAAATTGTCGGGCCCCAATAGGGCCAGTGTAGGAGCCCCTAGGGTGCTGCAGAGTCTGAAAGAAGAGCTCTTGAAGTGCTGGCAGTAAGGGGGATTACTTGTACGTTGATTCTTTTTCATTCATTCATTTATTACTGGAATTTTTTGTTTATAAGAGGAGGAGATGATGATATGTGAGAAGAGAGGGAGATGACATTCGTTCATAGTTCAAAGTCGTGTAGTTCTTCTTCTTTTTCTATTTTCTTCTCCAGTCTATTATTCCTCGTCTTTTTCCACATCTTCTCGAGTTGCCAAACCTTGAACTGTCTCAAAGTTGAGTCTTCTTGTAAGTTGAGAAGAACCATAACACTGGAGAAAGATAGTGTCCCAGAACTTACTCTTTTGTGTGGGGGCTATTGCTGGGATATATGGTGGGCAGAAAGAGGAGGAAGGGTCAGCGATATTCACGATGGCTGATTTCCGGTACTACATGCGGCGGTCGGAGAAACTTGAATTTAATATTGACCACGAGGCCTTGAAGGAGTATTTTCCCATTGATGTTGTGACTGAGGGACTTTTCAAAATCTACCAACAGCTGCTAGGTAGGGGCTTCTTCTCGACTTCTCATACCACCTGTAACTGAAACCAGCTTTTGCTCTCTAGCAACACCTCTTGTTTTTTTGTTGGAAGAAATTGCGCAACGAGCAAGCCAGTAACACCATTTTTCTATCTGATGCCATAAGAGGATAGAAGCTCATAATCTTCTTTTATAACTGTTACATGTGTACCACACAGCCACATGGGCTGGGTTCTGCAGAAAACCCTGTGTAGTGCAGACTATGCACGCTGTCTGCCGGAATGAAATGCTTCTGCACGTTCCTTCCATTACCAGACTGTGTTGCCGCTACAAGTCCTTATTGAAATGTGTGCAGGTTAAGCGGTGATGCATTTCAAATTTGAAGGTGAGCAGCTGATGCATGTCTGAGTGTTTGCTAGGTTTCGGGTGGTACTTTGAAGAGTTGGGGACATGATGGCCATTATTGACTGCCTTTTATGGTCTCTTGTCGTCACAAAGTGTGCAGTTGCCCGTCACCAGTAAGACAACTCAGATAAAACAGGTATGAAGATAGGTAGATAGGGTCAGGAATACTTGATGTTGACCCAGCCCCACATCACCTCCGTGACTGTTGCTGATTTCACTGATTGATGACTGTGCATGCATGCCTCAAGCAATGGCAAGCACTGAGATCCTGTGCACCACTCCTAAGCACCAAAATACTTCTCACCACTCGCACACAATCCAAACACCCTTCTCCCATCCACTCGCTACCCAGCTGATCAGTTGTATGACCAGCAAAAAGGCAACACACTGCCGGTCAATGAGCACCAGCACCACAGGTCCTAGCCTGCCACTTAGGATTATGACAACCAGAGGTACTGCGCCAATACCAAATTTCCAGGAACCAGCCTGTGACAACTCAGAAATTCTGACCAGCATGAACCCATTAAACAGCATATGCATGAGTGGGCCAAACTGAAAGCAGAATTGACTAGGCAAACGTCATGCCAATACAAGAACACACAACACTGAAGTCCTCTGAAATTGAAAGCTCTCGTCTTCCCTCAACTCAGGTATGCATGCCTACACTACTGCCTTGTCTTGTCTATCCTCTACCTGGCAGCTGAGCTCTGTCCCACTTATGCCAATGACCAATGCTGTAGCTTCTCCTGCTGATCACCAGCTAAGTTTCCACCAAGCCCCCACAACCGTCGCTGCCCCACAAGGATATACACATTGTCAATTTGTCACCCTTCTCCCACCATTGTGGTGCCCACCTTCTTCCAGCACCACCACTCATGCTGTTTACATGCTTGGTCGCATGGTCACACGGCACATGGACAACAGGACTGCCACGACCAGTGTTACATGCTGCGCCTGAAACGAGGGCCATTTTCAGGCCCTGTGGTGTTTTCAGCCTAAAAGCCTGAAAGCCTACAGGCCCTGTGTCGTTTTCAGCCTAAAAGCCTGAAAACAAGGGCCTACAGGCCCTGTGTCGTTTCACCCTGAAAGCCTGAAAACAAGGGCCTACAGGCCCTGTGTCGTTTCAGCCTAAACCAAGGCCCTCCAGGCCCTGAGTCTTTTCAGCCTGAAACGGAGGGCCATTTTCAGGCCCTCATAAGATCGACCTGCCCTGAAACTTAGGCACCAGACCAGGGTTTTAGCACAGGCCATTTTGGGCCTGTTTTAATGACAAGCTTTGTTTGAGCTTCAACGCCAGGGTCTGGCACGTTTTGGCATTGGCAAGGAGGAGCGCTGCAGTAGTAGTAGTAGTAGCGTTAGCAGTAGTCTTCAACTCTGGGCGCTAGTAGGAGCTAGAGTGGGCGCTAGTAGGAGCTAGAGTGGTACTGGAGAGAGAGAGATTGGGCGGAGGCCAGGGAGACTTACCTGCAGTGCCAAAGCTCCAGCTTCGTCTTCGAGGTACCTGCAGCACGGCGCCACCTTCAGAGGTTAGTACCTGGCACATGAGAGAGAGAGAGTTCTTCTTCTTCCTCTTCTCAGTCCACCATCTCCCTCTCACCCTCTCGCTACCTGACTTCACTGCATCAGCAGATTACGAGAGAGTGGGCTTGGTGACATTTGGATCCAGACTCGACATTGGGTTTCAGACATTTGACGAAGGATTATCTGGGACTTGTAACGAAGACTTGGTGTCGACGACATTCCCATCTTCCCCCTTCTTCTTCGTCTGATCCCCTCTTCTTCGTCTCTGTATGGTCTAGACCTGTCACATTCTTCCTGTGTGTAGCACCAGGCCCCTTCACACCTTGTGACGAGGATGATGTATGTTTGGTCTGTATTGCGACATTGATTGGGCTAGTCATTGGTATTCTAGCATTCTGCTGCGCTGTCTTGTACTACGTAAGAGAGGTCAGTCCCGGTGTGGCATACTGCGTAGCCACACGGGCCCTACAGGGCCCGTCCCGGACATTCAGCCTAAAAGCCTAAAACTTAGGGCTTACAGGCCCCGTTCATTTCAGCCTGGATGCTGAAAAACGAGGGCCTGCAGGCCCTACCTCGTTTCAGCCTATTTCTGGGTCTTTTCAGACCCAGAGTTTTCAGCCTGAAACGGAGGGCCAGCAGCAGAGAAACTGCGGCTACAGGCCGATGCAGAAGCAGATGCCCAGGCTCGCCGAAAGGAAGCCCAGGATCTGCTGCAGCGGCATGAAGCC